TTACTCCTGGGGGAATTCTACACCACTGCATACTTGTGTAATTAATGAACCATGCATATTTTTAATTTTTTGTGCAAAAAAAAGCTTCTGCTGAAAAGTTGCTGCTTTTGCCCCCTAGAGGGTGATAGAACACAGCAGCAGCTCCCAGCCAGCTAGGGAAGAGAGCCTGCTTTACAGCAGGCCAGGTCAGGAGACAGGGGCTATGGGGAGACAGTCAGCATGGGTTGCTGAGGGGAGGGAGGATCAGACAAGGGCTCATAAGGGCTAGTGAGGGAGGACAAACTGCAGCAGGGACTGAATGCGATTGGAGACATAGGGCCACAGGGGGAGGGGAGTGCAGGACCACGTGGGGGAGGGGGTGCAGAGCTACATAGAGACAGAGGGTGTCTGAGTAGGGGCCCAGAGACACATGGGGAGGAGGTGCAGGGCCACATGGGTATGAGGGGGAGTGGGTTTCTGAGTGGGAGTGAAGGGACACACATGCCTGACTGAATGGAAGAGGCTAGGGGTCAGCCAGGGTCTGTATGGGGGAAGCTCACTAACTGTCCCTCCCCACCCCCCAAAAAAACTGTTCCCTGCTTTCCCACCCATATCCAGCAACCCTCCAAGTTCACACCCAAGCTCCTTACCAGTAATTATTTCCCTCTCCCTCAGCTCCTCATTACCCCTGACTACCCCAAGCCTTTGAACTGCTTCTGGGGGTGGGGGAAATACAGTTGTGTTGTAGTTTAAATTAATTATTACTCAGAGTTCTGTATTAATATGCCTGGTAAGGAATCTATTTGTCAAACAATTTCTGAATCTTTTTTGTCTGTATTGTTAGACATACTTGCTGACAGGTATTTTGAAATAAATTACCCAAAATAATTGAAACGGGTATGATTTTGTGTTGTTTTGACAAATAAAATGTGCAGAATTTGAAATTTTTGTTGCAGAATTTTTAATATTTTGATGCAGGTTTCCCTCCAGGAGTATGGAGTGAATACCTGTCCATACATTACAATTGCATGTTCTTCATCCACAGAATTGGTAGGAACTGTAAGGCAGCATTTTGCCAACTTGTGGAGATTTGGAAATCAACCACAAACAGAGTCTCAAAACTCAGTTACTTTTACTGGCATCTGACGTTCTTTGACAAAGGTCAAGTAAGCAGCACGTTTCATTGTCATGATCTTTCTCCCATCCAGGAATTGCTTGAGTTAGCTCAGGGTCAAAACACAGAAAAGGCACCCAATTTAGCTAAAAAATGTGAATAGCACTCAAAAAGTAGGCATCTGGCTGTTTAAACCAAGGTGGTGGTACCTGGAGTACTGGTTTAACTTCTGCCATTGACTGGAACATTTCTTGTCTGAGGCTGTTTTCAGCTTTGCAGTCTGAAGTTGTTGCGATGCCATATCTTCAGTCCATATGATCAAATCTATCAGTTTGTTGTATGCTTTGTGAATCAAAACTGGCCGACTTTCAAACCATGTTAGAAGTTGCATGAACTGGATTGCATTCTCAGCCATGACCTTCACTTGGTCTTCAGTGTTGCTCTGTTTTAACAGATTAGAGACTTTAAGCACAGAATGTGTGATTGGCATGATTTCAAGCTCTTCAACTACAAATTGTTGGTAGTATTTAATATTCCTTGCATGGTAAGTAACTGCATTAAACCATGAATTCCATCTTGTAATCACTGGTTCAGGTGGAAGCGACACTGCTTGGTTACCACTTTGATTAGCCACATGGACTCCTTGAATTGTAGTTTACGGCTTGGACAATGCTTGAATAGTCTTTTTTAAAAAAAAAGAAACAGGAAAATATGTATGCCAGATATCACTGGACATTGAAAGAATGTGTGCATTACAGGTAACGTGAATTGCATTGGGCATCATTCCTTGTAGTATACCAGAGAGAGCTTTGTACATGTACATTATGTTATCAGAGAAATGCTGAGACCTTGTTGAAATCTAACCCTTAGTTTACACCAGCCTTTACTATAGCTTGTGATACAGCTGAAAAATGTACTGACTTGAGCTGAACAGGCTCCATTAGGAAAATGGCATACAGTTGTCTTTCCAGCTGTCAGGTGTGAATAAAATGTGGAGTATGTACTTATCCTATGCATCTGTTGCTTCATCAGCGACAATTGAAATGGAATCATATTCTGCCAGTACAGATTCTGTAAACTGAAGGCGCTTCACAATTACTTCTGTTAGATAATCTTGGTGACCTTTGTCTGCACACTGGAAACTGCCAGCTTTTGTTACATGCTTTCTGAAGTATTCCCTTAGTTTTGGATTATCCATTTTTTTGCCCCCCATAAGTTACGTTGGCAGCCTCAAAAGCCTCCACTAGCTCCATTGTAGTGTCTTTTTTTTTTTCCAGGCTACTTTCAGTCATTCTTTTAAACTTCGTGAACACTGTCGCTTTTTTTTTGTTCTGACTTGTCTCTATACGTGCTTTTTATTATGCAATTCAGACTCAAAATGGCAATCAATTATGTTTTTTCCAAACAAATCCAGTCACACTGCAAGATGAACAAAACAATTTACCACCTGAACCTTACTACATGTAAGGTTCTCCACGGGTACTGCTTTACACAAACCAAAGCTGAAATGTTCTTTGCTTTTTTTTATTTGTCAGCCATCTTTATATGCAACAACAATCCTTTCACTCAACCTGCTTGTGCTCACTTATCGTCATAAATGTTGACACATTCTCAGTGAACAATCTACTGTAATGACTGCTGTGCTCACTTTAGTCTACATCATGCAACTTGACAAGACACAATCAATTATCCACTATGATGATTGGAATGATATTGAATGATTATAGACAGCTGTTTTCTGCATTGTGGCAATCACAAGTTTTGCAACATATCTTATGACTAATACATATTTTTATTTTGAAGGTTAACTTTGTGAATGATCCCATATCTCACATTCCTGTGAAATCATGATCTAAGTAGGCCCCTAGTTATAACTGTTAGGGCTGTAATCCATTTTCTTATTGTAGGGTTGCTGCAAGTTTACAGTGTTTTGAATAGTATAGTTTTAAAATCGGATTATATTCCTTATTTAGCTAATCCTTCTAAATCCATATTGTCCCTTTAACAGACACAAAGAGGTGGTCCTTTTGTATATCAAGTTTTATTTCCCTTATTTTGTCTAACTCTTCCCTCAAGGACTTGTATATATCAGGACACATCAGAAACAGATGTTGATAATCCTATGTGTGTTGTTTACACCCCCAGCATTCACTGGATTCTCTGAATTCCAGATGGCACATAGACTAAAATGACTATGTATAAAATTAGAATGGGTTTAGCTTCAAATGTGGATCTCTGTTTTGTAATTTTAATTCCTAGGTCTAGACCTCCCTGTTCTTTTCACCTTTAGTATTCCTCCATACTTGCAATATAATTTCTTCCTTCACTAAGAGTAGGCAAGTAGCTTTCTTTCAATACATTTTTGAACTACTGTTCATCAGAAGGTGATGAATTTAAAAATTAATTACTTGTATTAGATTTATTTAAATCTCCCAGGAGTGCATAGAACTATACCTTACATTGCAGCAATTAATATTGGAAAGATTAGCAACTGAATTTTCCACAACTTTCTAATGGTTAAGAATCCATACTGTAGAGCAGGGGTTCTCAACCTGGGGTACATGTACCCTTGGGGATATGCAGAGGTCTTCCAGGGAGTACTTCAGCTTATCTAGATATTTGTCTAGTTTTACAAATGGTTACATAAAAAGCACTAGGGAAGTCAGTACAAACTAAAACTTCATACAGACATTGACTTGTTATACTGCTGTATGTACTATACACTGAAATGTAAGTACAATATTTATATTGCAGTTGATGTTATAATTATATGGTAAAAATGAAAAAGTAAGCAATTTTTCAGTTAGTGGATGCTGTGACACTTTTGTATTTTTTTGTCTGATTTTATAAGCAAGTAGTTTTTGAGAGGTGAAACTTGGGGAGGAGGGTACACAAGACCTCAAGAAAATCAGCCTCCTCAAAGGGGTACAGTAGTCTGGACTCCGGAAAGGTTGAGAGCCACTGCTGTAGTGTGTAGTCTACTATATATGGCACTGGGCCTGGATTCTATTCCTATCTCTACTGCTATCCTGCTAGATAACCTTGAACAAGTCACTTCTCCTTTCTGTACTTTTGTTTCCCTTCCCAACTTGTGTCTGTCTTGTCTATTTATGTTCTAAAGCTCTTCAGGGCAGGTAATGTCTTACTGGGTGTGTATACAGTACCTACCAGCAGTTTGGACACAGCACATACAGAAAGAACTCCTCCTCCCTCCCAGTCTTTGTGTGACTACTTAATCTGCTGCTGAGCTCAAAGCACAATGAGGCAATGCTGACTTGGGCTGCTGTCTACTGTGCTGTACAATTTCTAAGGCCTCCAAGACGGCCTCATTACAAGCAAGACTTCTCAGAGGACTCGGATCCTGGAAAGGGGTCAGTGAGCGCACCAGGTGGATATGGGGGTCAGAGTGAGAGAGGTTGTGCCTTTGGTTTTAAAAACAAAAAGAATTTAAACAGATGCTTTGTAGAGCTGCATAGCATCTTGAATAAAAAAATGTTAGGAGAAAAGGGAACAGTGAACTGAACTGAAAACCAGTTGTAAAGGAAGCATGAGCCTGAGGGGATTGTTGTTAGGTTGCCTGCCCCTGCTTTCAGGGAGAAACCGATTCACTGTGTTTCACAAATAAGGAGACAGTTGAACCACAGAAACTTCCACATCCCTTTATACTTTAATTTAAAAACAGACGACACTGGGGGCAGCTCCTGTCTCACGGGCCCACGCTTTGGCTTTCACACACGAGCCATCCAGCTGGGCACGGCAGGCCCGCGCTCCGGCTGCCTCCGTGCAAAAGCTGGCAGTGGTGAGGTCAGCTCAGGGTGTTTTCACTCGGTGCCATGACACGGCGCCGAAAACGCCCGAGCGAAGGTCAAAACTGCCCGAGCCAGGTAGGGCTCGTCCCGCTCTCTCCCCTTTGCTTCCCCCGTGGCTGACCCCCTCCTCCACCGTCCCACGCTCCCTTCGGGCACCGCCCCTCGTGCGGTGGCGCCGCCTCCCCTCCTAGCCGGCCCGGCCCCAGCGCTGGGTCCCGGGTTTCCCGAGCCTGCAGCGGAGCAGCCACCTGGCGTTTCGGGACGCGGCCGCAGTTAGGCGGACGCTATGGCCGAGGAGCGGGACGTGTTTCCGAGAGCCCGGGGCAGGACGCTGAGCGTCTGTCGTGAAGGTACGCGGCCGCCCGGCCCAGCACGGGGAAGGGAGGCGGCTGGGGCTCGGCACCCGGCGGAACGTTGGTGCGGCGCGCGCGGGTTTCAGCCGGGCTCTTGTCACCGGTGCGCTACCAGGCTTTGGGGGGAACGGAACGGGCGGTGCGGAGGCCCCGCCTGGCGGGGGGCTGGGGGAGCCAGGGGCGGGGGTGAGGGTCCTGGAGAGCGTGCGGGCGGGTTGGCTGCGGGGTGGGGCTGGCCGCTGGGAAAGGGGGCCGCCGAGCGGCGGAAGGTTACGGCTGTGAACCGCGGCGGTTCGGTCGCGGCGTGGCTGTGGGGCCATGGTGGAGGGGGTCACAGGCAGCCCCCGCCCGCCACAGCCCCGCAGGAGGGAGCTATGGGCAGCTGTGGCGGGGGGCGCTCCACGTACGCTCCCGCCCGCCGCGCTGGGGTGTCCTACAGCTGTGAACGATCAGCCACCAGTACCCCTTTTCTGTCAGATGACTCTTCAGTCCCCACGGCCCTGCTGCACTTGCTGCGGTGCCCCCACCCCGAGTGAATAACTCTGGAAGACACAAACACCAATCCATAATATCAAGTGTGAAATAAAGTTGGCCACTAAGTCTAGTAAGCTGCCTCCCACGGTAGTTCATGGCTGATGCGTTTGAGACTATTGACTGCCCCTGGCCCATTCATACCACCTCCTAGTAACGCTTAATTCTTTTCAGAGTAGCAGTGATCACTTTAGATAAGCTATTACCAGCAGGAGAGTGGGGTGCGGGGGAGAGAAAACCTTTTGAAGTGATAAACACCCATTTTTTCATGGTCTGTGTGTATAAAACATCCTCACTGCATTTTTCACTTTATGCATCTGATGAAGTGAGCTGTAGCTCATGAAAGCTTATGCTCAAATAAATTGGTTAGTCTCTAAGGTGCCACAAGTACTCCTTTTCTTTTTGCATGTTAGTCTGTATTCGCAAAAAGAACAAGAGGACTTGTGGCACCTTAGAGACTAACAAATTTATTTGAGCATAAGCTTTGTGAGCTATAGCTCACTTCATCGGATGTTACAAGTGTTTTCTTTTTGCCTCATATCATCTGGTAACTTGGTATTCTTCAAATAAATACTGCCAATAAAATCTTCTTTGAAATCAGTATTGATTTGGACTTACAAACTTGTGTTCATTGTTCATTTGCCATATCTAGCTGTGATGTTTCCTTGTTCCAGACTTACTGTGTTTTTTTGAAAAAGGCTGAAGTTCAATGGAAGAAATGTTTAAATAATTAATAAAGTGCTGGAAAATGCAGATCCCAGGCTCCATAGGTCCAAGATTCTTCCATCTGAAAATGAAAAATATTTGTTCACATTCTGGGCTAGGGTTCCCAAATGTCCTTGTTAATCTGTTCCACAGACATTGTTCTGTTCATGAATCTCTCAACTACTTTGAGATGCCTCTAACCTATAATGTTATTTTGGCACAATATTTCTTCAAAAAACATGAAAACACTACCCATTGGCCTCATTTCCTTTTCTTATTGTTTCTTTTGCTAATCCACTCCTTTTGCATTCTATCCCAGAATTTTTTGGGTACTCCGCTTTCACACTGTTCGTTGTAAATGGATCCATATTGACTTTAGGCTCTGGGGTTTTTTTGTTTTTTGTTTTATACACATTTTCCTCCAAATTCCCTCTACACACACGAAATTGTGTCCCCAAATTCCTCATTGTTTAGAACAGTTGCAGTGTTTCAGTTAAGCTGCTTAGCCTTCTATAGTTTAGACAGCTAATTTTTCCAAAGAAATCACACATTTTTAAATGCTTGGTTTGTTTAATACAGTGTAGCGTAAACAATTTTTTTGGAATTTTATGTATTTAAAAATATCATACTTACCTAATCATATAGCCCTCCAAATTCACCATTCATTTCAATTTCATGTTGTAGATTTTAAAAATTTACTTTCATCTATTTAAATCTAAATTTCATGTGTTGTAATTGTAGAATCTGACCCAAAAAATGGGGTGTTGGGTGTTATATACCTTACTTCTTATCTTGCCACTCTAGGGACTGAGAATGCTTGCAGAGCAGCTCTAACAACTATCACACATCACAGAAGTCATCATTAGTTTCAGTTCTAGTCCACCTAATTGTACCATGAGCCCTGAACATCAGCCTCTGTACTTTCTTCACTTTAAAACAAAGCCTTCAACTTCTTTGCATGCTTAAAAATGGCCCAAAATCTGATGATGCAAGATTTCACATCTTTCATTTCTTCACATACCTAACACAATGTTAATCTGAGAGCAAGACAGGTAATATGTACAACTTTTTCTATTAAGTTTAATTTCTCAAACTTAGCATTAGAAGCAAATCTGTGTTAGTTGTGGCCACATTTTACAAGTTAGTTGGTACACTCAAACATGTCATATTGTGCGACAAACTGTCACAGAGGGAATGAGTGTACATCACACAAAATAATTCCCTTGAAATAAAAAAATAAAACAAGAATATCAAACATCAGGAGACTTGTCAAAAATCAGACTAGGCCACATTATCAGTTATTCCATCATTTAGATACTAAAGCATAATTTTCTTTCAGATATTTATAAGTTGCACAAATTCATCAATAGGCCCTCGCAATTAACATGGTAGTCTGCAAAACAAAAACATCACAAATTATAACAACCTATCCCTCTTTCATAAAACCTATGAACCCTGATACTGATGCTATCCCAAACTCACTCTTTTCTTTAAGAAAAATGTTTTCATCCCTTTATCAACACACACCCAATTATAGTTCAATACCTCTTCACCATCTTTACTTTTCTTAAAATTTCTAACACAGATTTTCTTTACAACAATTTATTTTACATTTCCTATCTTTATTGGAGATTATTGATTTAATCACCCCACTAAATACAAAAAATACATCTTGAAACATACTCAATATAACATTGTTTTGGTTTTTACCACATTTTACAAAAACTGTTATAGACCAGACACAAAACTTAAAATGTTTAAAAAAATAAACCCAAAAATATAAGACTAAAGTAAACATAAAATGAACCCTTTAATTTAAAAACCTTAATTTATGAAAATCAGTAAAAACTGAAAACATAACACTAAAATACTTCAAAACAAAAGTTTACTCCTCCTTATTATTAAAACTCATTCAAAATTTAACTTTTTTTTTTTACACATTTGGAGAAGCATATATCTTTTCCAACTACATTGGAATAGGATTTATAATTGTTAACATCTATTGAGAACATACACACCATGGAGATGGAGAGCAATTTTTAATTTCTGACCGCTAAATTATATAGACAACTAAGATGGAAAAATCTACGAATGTGGAATCCTATTCCTTTGAAAATTTTTTATTCTATAACCTACCCAAAGGGATACAAAGTAGACCCACTATGATAAAACAACCTAGAGATACCCAAAAAATGGATTTAGAACAAAATATAAGTATTTAATTGTATTATGAAATTTATTTATGAAGAATCTTTCTTCACACAGGGTTTTTCAGAGGTTTACACTAAACTGGTGCAAACTGTGTGTGAAGAGTGGTTTATCTTGGATTATTTTAAATGTGTTCCTAATCAATTTAAACTACACTATAATAAGGTTTCAGAGGAACAGCCGTGTTAGTCTGTATTCGCAAAAAGAAAAGGAGTACTTGTGGCACCTTAGAGACTAACCAATTTATTTGAGCATGAGCTTTCGTGAGCTACAGCTCACTTCATCAGACTATAATAAGGCTGGCTTAAACCAAAATTTGCATTTAGTGTAACCAAATTAGTTTATAATTGCACCCAGTATTAATTAAGAATTAGTAAACTGGTGGAGCTCTCTGTAAATTAGCCCTATTTCTTTTTTGGAAAAAGAAACTTACTACTTGGATTGACCAAATAGCAGAAAAAAGGGTTTGAATATATTATGTACTGATCTTCATTGTTGTGTACTATGTAGCTGAACTAATACCACAAACATATAGCTATTGATTAATTTTCATGGCATTGTTGAATAATTTAGTCAAACCACACAGTAACCAAATACTGTTTGCCCATCCCTGTTTATTACAACTCATAGATATTAAGGTCAGAAGGGACCATTATGATCATCTACTCTGACCTCCGCACAATGCGCACGACTCACCCACCCCTCCTGCTAAACCCCGCCTTGTTTGAGCTTTGAAGTCCTCAAACATGGTTTAAAGACTTTAAGTGCGAGAACTCGCGACGCTACGGGAAGGTGAAAACCCCGGGCCCTCACGCCCGGAAAATTCCCAACCCCAAATTGGCACAGCGAACGAGCTTGTGGGCAAGTACGTCAGATACCCAGAAAGTTCTCTGTAGTAACTTGATTCCACCCCATCTAACTCCCATCACATTGGTGGACATATTAAATTTGTATTAAAACACAAAGATTTGATCTCCATATTTAAATTCCAGGGTATTACTATTAAGGGCTCTGGTGTTTGGTACGTTTCTCCCCTCTATGTGTGAAACTTGCGCGCAATTGTGTTAGTACTTCTAAGACGGCTGTTCTCAAAGCAACTTTGTAACAACAACTCTCACACGAGAGCCAACAAACCTGTAACAACGAAACCACCCGGACCCCCCCTTTGTTGTATTCTTCCACTTTAACAATTGTGATTAAAATAGTATAGGGAGTAGGGATGGGCTTGGTGTGGTAATAACTGAATGATCAGGAGGGGCTGAACTGGTCCAGGCTGAGGCGGGAAAAACCAGGAGAGGGCGCGACACCCACCGAAGGGAGAACCAAAGAACAAACTGGCAGCAGGAGGCGCGTTGTTCAGCAACCGGCCCCGCGGCTAGGAGAACCTTAAAAGGACCTAGAAAGGAGAACTTGGGGCTGTGCAAAAACTCCAGGAACGGAGCCTGACAGGCCCGCCCGTCCGGCCCGACCGTGGCTTGGCGGCAAAGGCTGGTAACTGATAACAACCTTGCGACCGGTGTGGGGAAGAGTGAATAAATAGAAATTGAATGGAT